TCGGGCCTACAAAAAGTCCTTGATGCACTGGACTCCATTAAAACAAAGGTACAGTTGCATTTTCTGCCACCTCGATAGAGTACCTATGTTTTATATCCCACTGGTTTTAGGAAATTCTTTTGATCAAATCGAATAGTCTCAGTTTGACATGTGGTGTTTGGATGAACGGTTAATGAAGGTAAAATGTTGCTTATATATTCATGTAACTTTTCTTTATCCAAAAGTTGATCCTAATTCTAGTATAATTTTAACCTTGCCTTTATTTAATTTTGTTTCCCCATCATTTGAACATTCATATATAAGAGTCAGAGAATCTCATGACTGAAAGGAAACTGAAAGATCATCTGGTCAAATTATTGACTCATTCACACAGCAGGTATTTGTTAAGTACTTGCTCCATTTCAGTCACTTGGTTGACATAGGAGATACAATGCTAAGCATGAAGACTAATCCATCCCAAGTTTAAATTCTATAGCACAGCCATGTTTAGGTCATTGAACATCTGCTAAATACAATCCCCAGTGGCAGGCCTGGCTTCAGAAAGCTCATATTCACTGAAGTCATGTTTATCTTCTGAAATGCTCACTTGTTACTCCTATCTGACCCCTTTGAATGATGGAGAATAAACCTGATTCAAAAACACTAATTGGAAAAGATATGTACCTTCACATTAACTGCAGCATTATTTATAATAGCCAAGATACAGAAATAGCCCAGTGTCCAACAATGGATGAATGGATAAAGAAATGTAGATTATATGTACACAGTGGAATATTTCCAGTCATAAAAAAGAAGGAAATCTTGCTGTTTACGACAGTATGGATGGACCTTGAGGGCATTAAGTTAAGTGAAATGAGTTAGATAGTGAAAGACAAATATCATATGATCTCACTTATATGCAGAATCTGAAAAATAAACAAATAAACAAACTAAAAACCAATGAGTGCATAGACACAAAACAGATTGGGTGTTATCAGGGGGTCAAAAGGTACAAACTTCCAGTTATAAAATAAATAAGTTTTGGAGATAAAATGTACAGCATAGCAACTGTTGTTACTACTACTGCATTGCTTATTTGAAAGTTGCTAAGAGAGTAGATCTTCAAAGTTCTCATCATAAGAGTAACCAGGCATAGTAATGGATGTTAACTAGACTTATTGTGTTGATCATTTTGCAATATATGCAAATATCAAATCATTATGTTGTGCACCTGAAGCTAATATAATATTATGTATTAATTATACCTCACAAAATGAAAAACCTGATCATTTTTTTTTTTTTTTTTTTTTTGAGAAAGAATCTTAAGCAGGCTCCACACTCAGCTCAGAGCCCAACACTGAGCTCCATCCCACAATCCTGGGATCATGACCTGAGCTGAAATCAAGAGCGGGTTGCTCAACTGAGCTGCCCAGGAGCCCCGATCTTTCTTTCTTTTGAACCTATTTTCTCGAATAGGGTTTTGCCTACCCCGAGGCTAGTTATCTTTTGTTCGCTTTATTCTCTTAGGACAGTTTTCTCTCTTTGTAACAACTTTGTCCCTCTGCTTGTAACTCATTGCTGTTTGCATCTGTTGCTTTAAAAGTGTAGTGTCCAGAAAAGAAAGCAGTTATTCAGTTCTGATCCAGCCATCAGGTATGATAGCAAGGCAATTACCTCCTCGTTAAGGATACTCTATTTTGGTGACTGCAGCCTCAAATTTGCATTATTTTAGTGGCAGCAATTTCACTTTAAATACTGGATGTGATCAGTTAATAACTTGAAGGAAATTATAAGGGATAATTATGGAGGACAAGATGAGAATGGACATGTGAAAATAGTATCGTCAGGTTCCCTTGCTCATATCTGCTCGTCTGTATTTCCAAGTCAAATGTCATCTGTTAATTTCTTTTTATTTCGTTTTCTGGTGAATATGGGACCTCTCTTAAAAGAGGGGGGCGGAGGGGCGCCTGGGTGGCTCAGCTGGTTAAGCGTCCAACTTGAACTCAGGTCTTGATCTCATGGTTTATGAGTTCCAGCCCCGCATCAGGCTGTGTGCTGACAGCTCAGAGCCTGGAGCCTGCTTCAGATTCTGTGTCTCCCTCTCTGCCCCTCCCTTACTCATTCTCTCCCTCTCTCTGTCTCTGTCTCTCTCTCTCAAAAAACACATTAAAAAAAAGTTTTCTGGCGACCAGAAGGGAGTATTTGTTTCCTGCCTTCCTCCCACTCTGATCACGACACATAACCTGTGTGTTTGCCTAATTCCAGGGTAAGAGTGCTGACTTCGCTAACTTTGACCCTCGTGTCCTCCTTCCGGAAAGCTTGGACTACTGGACCTACCCAGGCTCCTTGACCACTCCTCCTCTTCTGGAATGTGTGACCTGGATCCTGCTCAAGGAGCCCATCAGCGTTAGCAGTGAGCAGGTCGGTTTCCTAAAGTAAGGGAGAGCATCTCATCCAGACAGAGGAGCTTGGCTTTTGGATTTGGACAGACCCAGGGTTTACGGGCTTAATCCTGCTCTTGATGCTTCTAGCTGTGGAACTAGTGTCTATAGCAGTGTGTAGCTGATAAACAGCTTTTGAGAAATATTTGCTGTTATTAGCCATAACTTTAGGCAGTGTTTACTCTGTGAGGTTGGGTGATCCTGGGGATTAAATGAGAAGGGTATCTGTCACTTAATAAATGCTTTTATGGAAACTGTGAGGAAACTGAGGCCCAGGACAATGAGATTTCATACTCAAGGTTACACAGATATCAGTGGTAACTCCCCGCCGATTACTCACTCACGTAAGAGCTTGCTGCAGTTCTTTTTGTATCAGAATACCTTTCTGAATTCTGACAAAAGTAAAAGCCATGCTTTGCAGAAAAAAGTATCAAAAACTCACTCCAGGTTGCTTTAACAACCTTTAACACAGACTCTTACTTCTCCCATACAATATAGTTTATGCAATTCAAGTTATTAATGCAGCTTCTAAGTCGCCAATAGTACCCCCTGTCTGTCTCTATTCCCACACAGCTGAAATGTAGAAAATGGACATTCCTCAGTAGGATCCACAAGGACTTGGATCCTGGGTAATTTAACTGATGTTACAGTAGCTGAGGGATAATTACTGGACCAAAGAGATCAGGTTAAAGGCTGTTGATTTGTGGGCTGTTTTATTACTGCCCGAAAAATCCTTCTTCATTTAGATCAAGACTTGCTTAGGAAAAGGGAAGTACCCCTTTGCACAAATGACCTCAAAGAAGTAGGAGGCTGGTTGAGGGCTGCCTGTTTCACATCGTTGGGCCAGGGAGCTAAAACAAGGTTAAAAGGGAATAAAGATCAGTCAATGTCAAGGATTTCCCAGATTGGGAAAATTCATTTATGTGTTTCTATACATTTAAGCAAAGATACCAGCCCTCACTTATCCCCTGGGGCTTGCAGATCCTGGGTCACTTTAGGTCACCTTCCCTGGGGCAGAAAACAGAACTCTAATTGGGATCTAAAATTTCTGTTAGTATTTTACATCTCAGAAGTGTTTTATAGGCTTTTGATGTTTGATTTTAAAATTTAAAGAGGGAAAAAACAAGCTCACTGAAAATTTCCTTCCAAATGACACCAACAATCTTGTGTGCATTTTCTAGAAATTGATTTGTTATCTAAAAGCATAGGGATATAGGGGCACCTGAATGGGTCAGTCACTTGAGCATCCAACTTGGGCTCAGGTGGTGATCTCATGGTTCGTGAGTTCAAGCCCACATCAGGCTTGCTGCTCTCTGCACAGAGCCTGCTTCAGATCCTCTGCCCCCCTTTCTGTGCCCCTCCCCCACTTGCACTCTCTCAAAAATAAATACAACATTTAAAGTAAAATAAAAGTATACACATATGTTTATGTGATTATACATTTATTGAGAATCAAAGTGAAGTTTAATATTGGAAAATGCATTTCAGGGTATAATGCAAGCACATAAATGAATACTATTGTGAAACTTGGACTTTTAGTTTTTTAATATTTTATTTTGCCTTTTAGATGCTGAAATTCCGTAAGCTTAATTTCAATAAGGAGGGCGAACCAGAAGAACTGATGGTTGACAACTGGCGCCCAGCTCAGCCGCTGAACAACAGAAAAATTAATGCTTCCTTCAAATAAGATGGTCCCGGAGCCCAGGACCAAAGAATGGACCTCTGGGTTTCCCTTTAGCTAAGCACAAATCTACCTTGTTGAATTGGACCTTGGCTGCTTTGCATCTGGTTTTCTAGACCTTTCATTTCTCACCTGATGTGCTTATTAGTAAAATGTGAAGAACCTGACCAGGTGTCATCCTTGACAGAATTGCTGTGACTGTGACGGGTGCTTTGCTTATGGTAGTAGCCTTTCTGTAGTGGAGAATACAGTTCAAGGAATAGGGGAAAAAATACCTTGACTTTGTTCAAAGAACAGAGGGTGATGAGCATTGACAATTGTTCACAAAAATGCTAGTTTTAAAGCATAGGAAAATAGAATGAGTGCAAATCCCTATCATGAGATAAATTGAGCTATGTAATGTAAATCAGGTAAAATAGTCATGATTCTGTGTAATGTGAATCAGGTAAAATAAATATTCATGATTCCAAGATGTTATATTAATGAGCAAATTTTAAATTCTTATATATTTGTAGCAATGTTAAATATGAATTATGTTGTAATTTAGTGACTTTTGAATTACAGAGATATAAATGAAGTATTATCTGTAAAATTGGTATAACTATAGTTGTGATACAGAGTATATTTCCATTCAAATAATATATCATAACTTAATAAATATTGTATTTTAGATATATTCTCTAATAAAATTTGGACTTTAATTTGGGGCTATTTTATTTCCTGCTGGGCAATATGTAATAATGGAAAAGCAAATGTGTACTTTTTTAAAGGTTTATTTGTTTTGAGAGAGAGAGAGAGTGCATGAGCAAGGGGAGGGGCAAAAGAATCTGTGCTGTCAACCCAGAGCCCAATGTAGGGCTCGAACCCACAAACTGTGAGATCATGACGTAAGCCGAAACCAAGAGCTGGACACTTAACTGAGCCACCCAGGTGTGCAGAGCAAATGTGTACTTTTATAACTTATATTAATTCATTAATAATAAGCTACTCATAACTGTAGGAGTTTTCATAAAAGAAAAAACCTGGAAGGTCTTTTACTATTTGCCAAGTGCTGTTTTAAGTGCTTTCTGAACACTCATGTAATCTTCATGAGTGATGAAGAATGAATGAATCTCATTCTCATATGAGAATGAATCCTGCAAGGGAGAGAAGAACTGGTTACACTAAAAGCAGCCAGGCGGAGAAAGGTGTACATGCTGAATCAATATACACTCCTTGGGAATAAAACAAAAGTCCATTTTATCTTTTAAAAAACGGAATTCAAGTGGCACCCACAAGTAAAAGAGTAATTTCAATCTTAGAAAGGTAAATTATACCCTTACAGATAAGAAGAAAAGTAAATATATGAAATCAAAATCTTCCACTCCTATGGCAGTTCTGGATTTAGCTTGTGTGCCTGGACTATGCAATGGATTTTTGGCTGATGAGTTATTCTGGAAAGCCAAAGTTAACACGAACCTCAAGTTCTACACTGCATGGAATAAAACTCCTATGTTACTTGAGTTAGAAAAGTCTCTAAACTCATTTACACCCCTCACCTGCTTTACTAAAGAAACACGCTTTTATGTAGCAGAAAGATCACAAGCTTTGGAGTCTGATTTGTTTCAAGGCCCTGCACTTCTCATCTCTCTGATCCTGGCTATCAAAAGAGGGTAATACTCAGGATTGTGATTATTATATGAGGTAATGTCTGGTGTAGAGGAGGTGCTCAAAAATACTTTTTAAATTTTGTCTGTGTTACTCTAACTGTGCCATCAGTTTTTCTTAGTTTTCTGGAATGAGGCTTCTCCTCTCACTGTTTATTGATTTGGGTATAGAACCCCTAGAGCTAATCTTAACTAGAATTGTGTTTGTAAATTAAAAGTAAACCTACCCCAGGTCAATTGCTGAGTGGACTTCTACATATAAAATGAAGAGTTTAATTTGTGCATATTTTTACATATTGGTTTTCAGTTATATACTGAATCAGAAACTTATCAACAACTGAATTCTATATATAGGTGAATTATTATGTGCTTGGTACATAACAGATGATCTCTCCAAATACTGCAATGAAAACATTTATTTCACTCTCAGCTAAAATTAAATTTAACCAGGAGATACTGTTCTCTTGATTTTTTTGAGAAAGTTTTTGTCATATTTGTAATGTGCCACAAGTTATCCTAATTTATACAAGTGCTTTTCAAATGTTCCATCAAAATAGTCCTTAAAGCAGAGAAGCATATCTGCAGTACTCAGGCACACTTTGAAACATACTATTGCTTCTTTAAAGTCTCATTTTTTATTAAATATTTTCAAATTCTACATCCTCCTCTGCATTATACTCACATTTTGTCTTTAATTATAAAATATTTTAACTGGCTTATAATTAGTAAATTAGCACTCTCGGAATGTTTATCTTGCAACTTATCACCTCTGGTCATCAGGTGTACCTCCTGGGATCCTGGTAGCCCCAGTTTGAGAAGTATAATTTCATATCAAATATTGAGAATTCTGATTATATTTATTCTTTGAGGACGATCATTAGTTTTAAATAAAGTCTGTATCACCTTTATGGATATCATAACTGGTATTAGCATGTTTACATTTAAAAAAATATATTCAAATTCCTCTTTTGCATTTTACTAAAAAAGTCCTATGTCAGTTATCATACTCCATTAGAAGAAGGGAGGAAACATACATGATATCATAGCAGGCAGAATGATGGCCTTCCAAAGATGCCTGCCTCCTTGTCCCCAGAACTTGTGAATACATTACCTTACATGGTAAAATAAACGTTACATATGTGATCGTATTAAAGATCTTGAGGTGAAGAGATTATCCTGTGGGTCCAATGTAATTACAAGGGTTCTTATAAGAGGGAGGCATGAAGGTCAAAAGCAGAAGGAGATGGGACCACAGAAGCAGAGTTTAGAGTACTGTGGAGGGATGCTGACAGCTTCTAGAAGCTGGAAGAGACAAAAATCAGAATCTCCCCTTGAGCATCTAGATAGAACCAGCCCCACTGACACCTTAATTTTAGTCTAAGACTCATTTTGGACTTCTGGCCTCTGGAAAGTTAAAACAACAAACCTGTGTTATTTGAAGCCCCTAAATTTGTGGCAATTTGTTACAGCAGCAATGGGAAAATAATACAGATACTGTACTTAACATGGGAAACCCAGATGAGAATAAACTGTGGACAGCCATAAGTTTACTGGCCCAGCCTCTGGGCCCTGGTGATTATTCCCCTTGCCCAGAATGTCCTTTCTTTCCATCCCTAATTGTGAAATCTGAACTGTTCTTGGATGCCGGGCTCTAACATCAGCTCTTATCACTGACTCCAATCTCTCATCCAGGAGAGTTTGTGCTTTTGTGGTTTCTGACATCAATGACCTCCTTTCACTTGGTGCCATAACTGTGATGGTGTCTGTTTCCTTAACAGTACTGGAAGCTTCTGGAGGGCAGCCTGTGTTCGACCACAGGGCACTGTGTATGTAGCTGGTGTTTGGTACAAGTGTGTTGGGTGGAAGGTGAGTAAACATTGTCTTAGATCTGAAATAACTGGAGTAGGTGGAGGGTGAGAAGAAGCCTTGTTTCCTACATGCCTCCATACCTGGTGGGCAAAGACAACATAGTTCTATTTGCTACGGCCCATCTCATCTTCCTTAGGACCATGCTCATCTCCAATCCTACGTGGAATGGTGGCAGGGTGGTTGAAAACTCAAACCTGTCACTAAATGGCATTGCAATATACTCTGGTTTAAACAGGTTTTTAAGATTTCTTATCTATTCTTCCTCATCAGCCCACACAGATAGTGCCCAGGTATGGGGAAGCAGGCCAGGATGGGTAAGATGTCCCCTAGATTACCTTGTTGGTCTCTGCTGTGGAGTGGCTGGCCCTGCACCAATCTGTGTCTGCTGACATGTTTCACCTGGTTTTTGGAGATGTCTATAGCTGAACTGCTCCCACCATTGCCTCTGGTTGCAAAGTCTTATACTCTCCTGTTACACGGGAGGAATCCCCCAGGGACAGCCTACCTCCTCTGATCCTAGGTCCCGGAGTCCTTGCTTTCCCTCATCACCCAGATTTCACCCTGAAAGACTGTGTGTGTGTGTGGAGGGGGCAGGAAACGGGGACATCGGTACCTGCATCTTTGCTCCCTTTCCCCTCACCACTTTATGTTGGTCAGAAACGAGCTTCCCTTATACTGTGCTCCTTCTGGAAGCAACATTCACCTGGACCCTTTGCCAGGGTCACAACAGCAGACAAAATGCACAGAAAGAATATTGGTTTCACAATTGGGTAAGGTCCGTCGGAAAATATTTTAAAATTTCTGTATACTTTACACCTAACAATGTGCTGCCTTTGAGGGCTTCAGGAGGTTTCTTTAGCTCACTTGGTAAAATCTAATATAAAAGAAGTATTTTATGTATTTATTTATTTAAACTTTATTTATTTATTTTGAGGGACCCAGAGGGAGAGAGAGTGGGAGAGAAAGAATCCCAAGCAGGCTCCACACTGACAGCGCAGAGCCCAACACGGGGCTTGATCATGACCTAAAAAGAAATCAAGAATCCAACGCTCAATAGACTGAACCACCCAGGCTCCCCAAAAGAGGAAATTTAATTTGTGTTTCTTCCCTTTTCTCTTTTTCCTCTCTCTGTCCCTGATCCCTACCTTTATTACAAGGAAATATAGAGCTTAAATATGTTAATAAAGATAGTATCATTACCTCTCATCTAGTATTTTTAACTTTTGGTTTGGTGGAATGAAACAAAAGAGAACCCTGAAAACTCTGATGCTGAAAGCTTCATGGTCCTCCAATAATCATTCAATTTCCTTTATGTGTGTGCAACTCTAGGGTCAGGATGGTCCTTGTATGGGATTTGGGGAGAGAACCACACCATATTGGCTTGAAGTCACATCCAGCCTATCTGATGGAATTTTCTATTCTGCAGATCAGCCTGATGGCCCCACTATCAAGGACTTGTTTTGTAAATAGAGATGCCTGGAAAGGGTTTGGGAACAAACTTTCAGCTCTCAGCTGACAGGAGTCTATGGTTACCTATGGAGAGAGTGGGTCCAGTGTAGCATTCACCTCCTGCACACTCACCTTTATGGTGGCTGGAACCTCTAGCCTCTGGTGTCCAAACTGGTGGCCCCAGGCGTCTGAAGATTTTCTCCACACGCCTTTGTCTTTGGGAGCAGAAATGTCCCCAGTGTTTTTAGAGAAGGTGTAGTTCTTGGTCCTCCTCTTAGAAGGATGATTCTGGCTTATTTGGCAGAGGTCAACATGCCCACCCAGGACAGGTCTCTCCAACGCTCAGTCACCAGTCCTTTCTATCCCTCCCTTCACTGCACCTGGGTTTCTACGTTCTAAAAGGTTTCAAGTCTGCATGCTTTGTCTGGAGTCTCTTCTCAGAAAGTTCTGGCAGGAAGAATGATGCCTTTCAACACTGAGATCTGTACATGAAACACATATATGTAGAGCTCCAAAACAATTTTTTGTTACACACACACACACACACACGCATGCACACTGGCTGGCAATATGTGTATTTATGATGTATAAGATACTTTATTTATAGCCGTTTTGGTGAGCTACCTGGTTCTTTCAGGAGCCAATAATGAAGTAGAATTTAGTGCTGCATCTTTTCAACGTCACTCCCCTTGCATATAATCTCAAAAATAAAGAGAAAGTACAAGTATTTAAAGCTATCAAAGAGAGAACAGAAGTGAAATTTTTTTATCCTATAGTGCATAGCAAGAAAAAAGGGACTCACCAACTCTATCCTTTTTCTCCTCAAGGGCTCTGAATCTCCCTGGACTGCGGTCCCCTACCCCTGAAGCCTCCCTGGGGCCTCATTTTCTCCTCTCTTTCTAACCAGTAATTTAGTTCTATCTTCCCCTCCTCCTCCCTCCTAATTCACACATGTACACACTCGTATGTGTATGCACGCACGCATACACATGTGAACACGAACACACACTTGCACACAAGTGCACACAAAACCATCTCTTGATAGTATACTACACTTAAGCATGCAAAAATCCAGCAAAGGAAAGTGCCTCCAGTTTCAAGATCTCCTTTTTCATAAAGGTGGCGGGAGAATTACAAATGTTTATTTTCCTTGTCACACTAGTTATTTTTAAAGCTTCTCCCATACATGTGTTATCTCTCTTGTTCTCAATGCAATAAAGTAAAAATTATTTCCATGTTACAAATGAAGCCTTGGGGATGCAGAGGAACTAGGAAACATATCTAAGTGCCCACAAATGTGGCAAAAAGGGGATGCAAATACAAGTTTTGTGTTCATGCTCTCCACTCTATAATGTGAAGAATGATACTTGATGGTGCATGGTCATCTTTGACTGTATCAACTCCCTATCCCCAGCTCTGTTCTTTCTCTAAACTGCTGGGTTTGGGGTCCAAGCAGCAAGGAAAAGGACTCACCAGGCTTGGCTGGCCAGCCTTGTGGGAGAATGTGAGAATATGAAGTGGGCCGGGCTTTGTCTAATACAGTGTCTGGCTCAGAGCAGAGGTTCGGCTAGACTTTGAATAGCTATTACTGAATGAATGAATGAATGAATGTATTTTAAAGTCATATGTAATGAAGAATTCTAGAGATGGATGCTGATGACAGTCACGACAATGTGAATGTCTGAACTGTAAATTTGAAAGTGATTAAAATGGTAAATTTTATCACATTAAACAAATTCAAATGTAAATTATTTTTACATTCTCTACTATTTTATTATTCATTTCTTCCCTGTCAGTTAAATAGAGGCATATTTTGCACAAATAAATATTTGCAAATCTCACTTAAAAGTTGGATAGGGCCTTAAACAAGATTTTGGCACCAGCATGAGCCAGAAAGAAGTGTGGCAAATGTGGTTGATTGTAACAGGGTGTGGAGTTAGATTGTCTACATCCATTGCCTGGTTTTTTGTCTCTTAGCTGCATGAATCAGGGCAAGTTATTTAATCTCTTTAAATCTCTATTTCCTCATCTATAAAATGAGGATTATAATGCTAGCCTTCACATAAGATTCTTGTGAGCTAATCTATGTAAGATAAATACTACCATGCTTAGTAAGCACTCAAAAAATATCAGCTACGATTAGAAGAACTATGGACCCCAAAAGAGACCAAAAATGAAAAGTCTTTAGTATGAGTCCAAATCAGAGCAGGCTACTGTTCTCAAACAGCTATGACTGACTTCATCTGTCGCCTTTCCTCTCTTTCTGATACCCGATGCCGAGGATACCATCTATATTGCATTCTTGGATAATGCCCCCAAGAATTTATGCTGTGATCATTCTGTGAAGTCATTTTTAAGTACAGAAACCAATAAAGACTAGATGGATGAAGAGCAAGCCTTTGCCCCATTTGCTTCAAAGTCTAGAAAAACCCTTATGTAACCATAAAATAAAATCCAATTGCTTCCTTACTGCATTACCTTCTGCAAAATGCACTGAAAGGTATATTTTAAAAGTGATGATTGGTCAAATAAGTCACACTCATGGTCTTCCCATTGGAACCAGCAGAATGATTCCACAGCTCCTAGGCAAGGTGATATTGGAGACAAGCTCCAAACACTCAGGATTTCTTCCCCTTTTCTCTCATTTTTCCCTTCATTTTTTTTTAAAGGGGAGATGATATATCTGTTTCAGAATGACAGTTTTTACTTGTTTTACTTATTGACCATTCTGTGGGAAATTACTACTGAGCACACTTTCTTAGCTTATCTTAGTCTTGATATGACATGAAAACATAAATATCAGCTTTGAGGAAAAAGGTATTTCATAGGCATCATTATTACCAGCAGGGATTAATAGAAAAAGTACCAAACAAATAAAAATAAAATTCTTTGAATAAAAGAAGAAAGTTTAGAGCAGGTAGTATATAGCTACCTATATACTATATACTATTAGAGTTGGGCTGAGAGACTTCTATTCCAACTGTGTGACTTTGAAAAAAGTGCTTAGTGATTCAGTCCCGTTCCTTTGTGTATAAAATGTGTAATACTACATGGTAGAGGGTTGAGGTCAGAAGTAAACGGGATATGTACAAAGAGCATTCGTGTAGTCTGGCTCATAGTAAGCAATCAATAGATGGTTGCCCTTATAAAAATACTCAAAATAAGATCTATTTTCCTATCAAACAAAACTGAAGCCGCGACCTTACTTGAGGATCAGCTTCCATCTGGCTGACTCAGCGTAAGATGGAGCTAAGAGTGTAAGGTTGGCCCGGTTGCCAGTGTGACCACCAGCTCTGCTATCGCTCCGAGATGATAGTTAAGATACTTGGCTGCCATGGGCTTTAGTTTCCTCATGCATTTGATGGAGGTAACAAGGGTACCTATTTGTTAAAGTTATTTTTAGGATTGAAACAAATAATCTAGGAAACACCTGGGTGGCTCAGTTGGTTAAGCATCCGACTTCTGTTCAGGTCATGATCATGGTTCGTGAGTTAAAGCCCCACATCAGGCTCTGCACCGATAGTGTGGAGCCTGCCTGGGATTGTCTCTCTCTCTCCCTCTCTCTCTGCCTCTCCCCCATTCACACTCTCTCTGTCTCTGTCTCTCTTTCAAAATAAATTTTAAAAATCTAAAAAAAAAAGATAATCTAGGCAAAATTCTTAACACTATTCCTTGCTCATGGCAAGTGCTCAATAAATGTTACTTAAGGCTATTAAAAATTCAGTGATTGAACCATGCAGCAATCCATTTCATGATGTAACAATTGGATTTTTTCCAGGCTTATGGAAATGTGGAACCACATAGGTAAATATATGGCTACTTCCAACAACCACATTGAGGCTTTTCACTTCAGAACAAACACTGGTCATGCTGCAAGCCCAGTGGAATATCTGATTCTTCCAGGTATAGCTCAAGGAACACCCACAGTGACATCTCCAAGATGGACACTATCCAGCAGATAAATGGTCCTTTAACTGTGGAATGACAGTCCTGGAATGAGTTTGTGAAGACACGAGTCTCTGACGCTTCCTTCTAATAGAGAAAGCTGTCAGAGCTTGGCAGACTCCACCATTTTTTTTCTAGCTGATCTAATAGAGCTCAAGCAACACTTTGTGGGGAGCATTCTCAAGCGTTTCCATAGCCTTTTCCATTATGCCAGTGAGGAAGCCTTTAGTGTATTTGCTTCGTTTCGTTTTCATTTGCCTGCCTTTCGGCCTAATTTACTGAGTAAATAAAATAGTTGCTATAGCCATTAGGTTGTAACATGTTTTTTTTTAATGTTACTTTCCTTCAAATAATTAATTTTATATCTGTATAAAAGGTAATAAATTGACTTTAAACATATAGTAGTAAGATTGCTATATCCAAATTTGTATATAAATCAGGAAACATATATATTAAAGTTTAAATTTTTTGATGCTCCAATCTTAACTGACAGACATGCAGAAAGTTTGGTCTGAGATAGATTCTTTCTCTCCAAGTATTTCTGCAGATATGAGTAGTACCTAAATGTATTTGAAAAAAAAATTTCCTTAGGCATAATTTACTATTACTGTTTGTTAGTGGAACGGGAAACCAGAAATCCCTTCTGGGAAACCTCCATAGGTTATGAATGGAGCCCTGGGGTCTCTGACTCTGGGTCCTTCTATCACCCTGCTACCAGTGAGGAAATGGGGCAGCTGCCACTGCACCCGGGGCTGGGAACCACTCACATAACTGGAGAATTGTCAACCTTGCCGGGACTTTCAGTTTAAGCTCTGATAGTTGCATGGCCTTAATGTGGGCCTCCTTCAACCCATACAGGTTGTGATGCTGTCAGGAAAAAAGGTGCTCACTTTCTCTTACACACTATTGCAATGTCCCACCCACTAAAGAGCTGTCTGTGCTCCAAAACGATGAGAGACACAGGTTTTCACCACACACACACACACACACACACACACACGTTTCTAGAATGCTTCCACAGCACCGGGGCCATTTGGCCTTCAAGCAATGGGCAGCTCAGGATCCAGACTCTGTTTTACCTTGTGGTGCCTTCCCTTTCATGATTCAGTCTGTTTTTAGTCATGTGCCACTCAGTTTACATGTTTTTATAGACTTGAATCCCAGTGAAGTCAGTGTTCCTGTGTCTTTTTCAACAGCAGATTTTCAGCTTTTATATAAATGAGTTCATTCTAACAGACGTGTTGGGTATTGTCCAACTCTGCTCCTTCACAGCATGCAAGCTTAACATTCTTGTGGATTCTTTGAATGTAATGCAGTACCACAAACTGAGGGGCTTAAACAACACTTCATTGCCTCACAGCCCCAGAGCCTGGAAGTCTAAGGTCAAGGTGTTGTCTGGGTCTCTGAAGGAGCTAATGAAGAATCTGTTCTAGGCCCCTCTCCTAGCTTCTGGTAGTTCCTTGACTTGAGGTGGTATAACTCCAATCTCCATGGGGGTTCTCCCTGTGTGTCTGTGTCCAAATTTCTCCCTTTTATAAGGACATCAGTCATATTGGATTAGGGGTCCACACTACTCCAGTATGACTTCATCCTAACTAATTATATCTGCACCTACCTTATTTTCCAATAAGATCACATTCTGAGTAATGGAGGTTTAAGACTCCAACATATCTTTTGTTGAGGGGGAGGAGACACAATTTAATCCATAACACCATTCCAATATCCTTTTACGTAAGATGTGTGTTATATGGGAAAGTGAAATTATATTCTTCAGGATTTCCTGAATATTTCCTATTTATGGGCCTATACTTTATTTATTATTACTTCCTGCTAAAGGATTTTATGGAATATATATAGCAAGTTTTCATCACTTTAAAAGAAGGGAAAGGAGTGTCTGAGTGGCTCAGTCATTTAAGTGTCTGACTTTCGATTTTGGCTCAGGTCATGATCTCACAGTTTGTGAGATTGAGCCTGAGTGATGACAGCATGGAGCCTGCTTGGGATTCTCTCTCTCCCTTTCTCTCTCTGCCACTCCCCTGCTCACATGCACACACGTGCTCACTGTCTCTCTCTCAAAATAAATAAACATTTTAAGGTGGGGGGAATGTGCAATCTAGATTCTCTATGTGCTTAGATTGTATGTAAATTTGCCTTTGAAAAGAGCTTCATTTTTGGGGGGAAACAATGAATTTCTTGCCCATATTCTGTCTTTCACTGGCATGCTTGTTATTCTGGAGTCTAATCACAAGGCACATTCTTTTACCACGAGGGCAAAGCTATTTCTATATGTCTCAGAATGTAACCTACTACTACCAGTGTACCAAATTTCTATAATCTTTAAAGTTTATAAGTCCTAACTTATAAAATAACTAACTTTAAAAATAAAGTCCTAACCACTTTGTTAGCTGTCAAAAATATTTTTCATACAAAGTAAGTGGTGCATGAATTTGGTTTGTGTCAACTCTAATCTTTGAGGAGAAACAACTCACTTTCAAACTACTTTCTTTTTTTTTTTTAATTTAAGTATAGTTGACATACAACATTATATTAACTTCAGGTGTACCAGGTAGTGATTCAACAATTCTATATATTATGAAATGCTCACCACAGTAAGTGTAGTTACCATCTACCATTGTGCAAAGTTATTATAATATTATTGACTATATTCCCTGTGCTATACTTTTCATCCCTGTGATTGACTTATTTTATGACTAGAAGTTTGTACAAAATTCCCTTCACCTATTTCATCCATCCCCTCACCGCTACCTCACCACTCTGGCAACCACCAGTAGGTTCTCTGTATTCATGAGTCTATTTCCATTCTCTTTGTTTGGTTATTTATTTATTTATATTTTCAATTTTTTATTTAAATTCTAGTTAGTTAAGGGGTACCCAGTTTGTTGAGCATCCAACTCTTGATTTTGGCTCAGGTCATGATCTCACAGTTCATGGGTTTGAGCCCCATGTTGGGCTCTGCGCTGACAGTGCAGAGCCTGCTTGGAATTCTCTCTTCCTCTCTCTCTCTCTCTCTCTCTGCTCCTCCTCCACTCATGCTCTCAATCTCTACCTCTCACTCTCTCAAAAATAAAGAAATAAACATTTAAATAAACATTGCCTCATAAATAAATAAACATTTAAAAGAATTTTAGTTAGTTAACATACAATGCAATATTAGTTTCAGGAGTAGAATTCAGTGATTCATCACTTTCATACAATACTCAGTGCTCATCACAAGTTGTTTTGTTTTTTAGATTCCACATATAAGTGAAATCATATGGTAATTGTCTTTTCTGTTTGACTTATTTCACTTAACATGCTCTCTGGGTCCATACATGTTGCAAGTGGCAAGATTTCATTCTTTTTTATGGCTGAGTAATATTGCATTGTATATATATATGCTGCATCTTCTTTGTCCATTTATTTATCAGTGGACACTTAGGTTGCTTCCATTATCTTGGCGATTGTAAATAACGCTGCAATAAACATAGTAGTGTATATATCTTTTTGAATTAGTGTTTTTGTTTTCTTTGTTACATACCCATAAGTAGAATTACTGTGTTGTATGATATTTCCATCTTTAATTTCTTGAGTAACCAACTTCTACCCTGTTTTCTAAGTGACTGCACCAATTCACATTGCTACCAATAGTGCACCAGGATTCCCTTTTCATCATTGCCAATGTTTGTTATTTCTTGACTTTTTGATACAAACCGTGCTGACTGGCATAAGGTGAGCTCTTATTATGGTTTTGACTTGTATTTCTCTAATGATTAGTGATGTTGAACATTTTTTTAATGTGTCTATTGGCCATCTATATGTCTTTTTTTGAAAAATGTCTATTCAGGTCCTCTGCCCATTTTTAATTGGATTATTTCATTTTTTTTGGTGTTGATCAAACTTCTTTCTTCAGTGTTTGATATTCTGGCACATCTGGATTTCTGTTATATTTCTTTTAAAAAGATTCTCAATGAAAGGTCCTGACTGGCTCAGTCATTAGAGCATGTGACTCTTATTCTTGGGGTTGTAAGTTCGAGCCCCACATTGGGTATAGAGATTACTCAAAAATAAAATCTTAAAACAATTCTGTCAATATTTCATATAATTTTTCTTTGCTTCTGAGAAAGCAAAAGTGTTAGACTTGTTCTGAAATGACCTGGGCAGAGATATAGCCAAAGTCTATGCTATTGATACAAGTCAAATTAGATCCTTAAGTAAAAGATCATAGGAACTAATGCGTTGGTCAAAAAAGCAGCACTTCATTGTAGTTTGAGTTACCAACGAGCACTTATTGGATGGATCAGGGAACACACTCAAATTTGGAGCAAGAAATGGCCTAGAATATAAATTTCTGCCCAAAAGAGATAATAATGAGTAGGTGAGTCTATCAGGCAGACTTCCTTACAAACTAAACTAAAGAACTACAAAGAGGATTGTCTAACAGTCAGAGAAAAAGGAAGAAAACAGCACACAGGACCTATGAGACAAAGACCTTGAAGGCCAGAAGAAAGGAGGGAGAAGTTGGTCCCCAGAGCTGTTTGCATCTCTGGGTCTCTGTCTCTGTCCCTTTGTGTGAATTCTTACCTTCCCTTTGCTTCAGGCAGCCTAAGTTTTTACTTTCCTTCTTATAATCCAAAGTGCCTGACATACACAGAGGTCGATTTATCTGTGAATATTTATTGAGCCCCTCCTATTAGGTGCTGGACTCTCAGTTAAAGGCTTCCAGTCTTCCAGGAGTGCACAGGAGAAATCTTTTATGGATTTCAAAATCTAAACAAGAGACCACTTATATGTGTCTCTTCCACTAATATAGCAGCAAAACTATGTAGTTTTTATTTCTGTATTCCTGAAAGACTTTGTAAATGGATCACAAATGCATTTTGAACCAGAGGTGCAGGGATTTCTTCCCCCATGTGTCAAGCTCATATGAATGACATGTGACATATAGTCATAGCTAAGATGGAATGGAATGGTATGTAGCAGAATTCTAAGAATTCCTACATAATTCCATTACTTCTCTTCTTCAAAATAAACCTAAGTAAGAAATAAAGTGATATTTTATAGTTATGTGATGAAGTTTTTGCTAGCACAGATGATGGTATTATATTTAATTGCTGGAGCTGGAATTTAGTTAGAGCATGCATTGGTTCCCTGATATGTTATATTAGGGAACTAGCTTTCCTGAGCCTCAATTTTTGCCATCCAGATAATAACCATAAAAAACCTTTTGTTAAAACTAAAAAATGAAAAATGAATGCATTTTAAAGTACTTGGCATAGTGCTAAGCACATGACTGATCAATAATTGTTC